CTCTGTATTTCCTCTTTCTCGATCTTTTTCTTTCCTTCACTGTTTCCCTTCATGTGCATTTTTTTCCTGACTTTTCATTCTGTTCTGCAGTTCGTTCTCCAGCTCTTGTCTTTTTTCCCCTGGCTGCTAAACATTTTGCCTTTCACCGCCTTCATAATGAATGAGCCTGCCATGAAAGCAAGTGTCTGAAACCAAGAGCATAAAAGCCTCAGTTAAGCCAAAAACCTTATTTACTATAAGTGGCATTCTCATTTCCACATCAATTCAGTTCTTAGGAACAACTTCTAGGACAGGTGTCATATGGGCAGAATTTATACCTTTAATGGCCTCTTGAGTAGTTTAAGAAGCCTGATTTCCCAAGTATATTAAAAAATATAATTCTGAATTCTGAATTAGTCCTAAATAATCAATTTTGCTAAGAAATAAAATGTCCACTTTTAGAATAGTATTACTGACTATAATACTGTCTCCCATATGATGGAAACAGGCACATAGACCCAAATCATGATTGAGTGTTGTCTTTCAACGTTGTTCAGCCAAGCGGCAAATTCAATGATCTAAAATACTTGTCATAAAGATAAGACTACACTACACAGTACCTTATCCAGCTTATAGTTCAGAGCTTCCACCGTCACACACAGTCTGTCAAGAGGAAAGATTCACCCATCCTCCACGATTTATAATAACTAATCACTAATTTTACAAAGAACGTTTAGCACTTCATGGTAGGCCGTGTCTTAGACACCGAGCACTCATCTACGCGGGGGAGACGCAAGCACAGAGATAGAGATGGTTCCTCACGATCAGTCTAAGGAGGAGGAGCATTGCCTGAGTAGGGCACAGAGACCTTTAGAAAAGAGTCTAAGTGGATGACGCAGCTCAGGAAAACTTCCAGGCACTGCAACACTGCCTCCTCCATTGCCACTGATGGGAAAAAGGAAATGCTCCAGTGGAAATGTCACTCACGTTAGGACTTGTCCAGCATACAGTGTCTAGACGGGAACCAACAAGGACTCGAACTTCTCAGCGTGAAACACAACGTCTAGCCTCTCTGAGTGTTGGATTCTCTTATTTGCCATACACTTGAAGCCTTGAAAGCTAAAGGCTATATACATTATGTTACTGCCCTGTCTCATAGTTTTGACATGAAAATATAGAATACTGGGCTGTCAGCACCAAGGAAAACTGTTAGAGTAACTATTAACAATGCCAAGGGCAAGAGGAAGTCAAGTGCTTCTATCTGAAAAGTCCCTATCCGTAATGTTACTTGACCCTTGCTAGAACCAGAATTTTATACCTACGGGCAAGGCATTGTATATAAGAAAAACAATGATCAGAATGTCTCTATGTGCCCTTGAGGCACCTGGATTCTTCCACATATGTTGAGACCTTTGACTTTCCAGTAAAATGAAGTAAAAAGAGAAAGTCATAGATAATAATTTTAAACTGATGTTTCAAGAACACAAATATGAGAGGCCTACTGATTTCTTAGCGTGAGAAAATAATTGTTGCATACGGAGTACATTTTAAAAGCAGAAAAGTATGGTAAAACAAATTTGATCCACTGAATTAAAATTACTTTAAGAAGTATTAATTCCCACTAGCAACATCAACTATTCATGATTGAATCACTGGTCAAGTATTTCATTTGATCACCAAAAAGCTAAAATTTACTCTCCATATAAAAGGCAGCATAAATATAAAGGCTGCCAATCAGGGGATTTCTAGCACAAAGAGTCATTATCTCAGTGTGCTATCATTTCTACCCACCCCCCACCCAGCTCTTTCCTTTGGCCTTAAAAAAGCAAAGTATATTTGCTATATTAAGATTCTTATGCTTCTTTTTTCAAGTAATTCTTGGTTTGGGGTGGTAAATTAGAAAAAGAAAGACAGTTATGCCCTGGGATTATTTTTGCAACACATAAATATCACCTCTATTAGGTAAATGTCTATTAAAATATATGGAAAAATAACCCTTCCTGAAAGGAAAGAATGAGCCCTCAATTTCTATGAGATCAGGTAAGAAGACTCTGGAGACTTCCAGAGGGAAATGCTTCATATCCCTGAATCTGGAGCTGTTTAAAACACGACTGCAATTGTAAATATGCTTTATATTCTCAATACGTTGCTACCTATATGAAACATACACCTGTTAACCTGACTGCAAAAGTAATTCTTTTCCTCTTTAATGAATGACTTGAGAATTTCCATCACTAGTTAACAGGTCTTGGGTGAGGAAGCAGGAGTGTAATTCTTCCTGAGGTAAAGAGAAAGGAGAGACTCTTAAAAGAAGAATGCATCTGAACTAGCCACCTGGTAGAAAGGACAAAGTCAGATTGTATGTTTAAAAACAAAAAACAAAAAACAAAAGGAGAAAATGATAAAACATACTTACTCTCTAAACTCTTCTACATTCAAGAACCTAAATACATTTAAGACGTCCTGATCACTGTCTTTAACCCAGAATCTGGGCTAAAGCAGGGTGCTATGATTCCCTACTTGACCTTGTAACTATGGGACTAGACAGAACTTTGAGTGTGCACCAAAAGAAGCAGATGACTTATTACAAGTAGTTGTTTACCAAAGAAATATGGAAATTGGTTTTTGTTAAATAGAATCCTCATTCATGGAGCCAGCCATTGAATACAGGTTTAATGTTCTGTCTCCTAATTTTAAAATGCTGCATGCTGTGAGGGACCTCTCCAGTGTCACTATACTAGCTGATAATGAGTGAATTACACTCTTCTCCTCGGGGAACAATCTACATGAATATGAAATAAAACTGCTAAGTCCTCATTTCTCTTCTACACTTTCCAGCTGGTTTCCTTTTGGGAGGAGGAGGTTTCAGATATAGCGAGTTCACACCAACTAGATAAGGTGTGTGAAATGACTGGACAATCGCCAAGGTTTCACTCCCAGCAAGACCAAAGTAATTTTTGCATCATTAGTGTGAATGCTGTAAAGGCACCACTGTATTAAGAGAGGCACTGAGGAAACCCCAGGGGTCCGAATGCTGGCTCTCCTGGTCCATCTCATCATACAAGAGTTATAGTTACTAAAGAATACATGCTCTAAAGTCAGGGAAAAAATGCTTCATATTTTCCAATGTGACTACAACAAAGAAAAGTAGGCAGGAGATACTCAAGAGACGAAGTCTTAAATCTGCCTCTGGAGTTGTCTCAATCAAATTATAAACCCTTTGATTGTTCGATTTAACTGTTTCTGTTGTGGTTTCACCAGGCATGAGAGGAATACTAGAAATAATAACCGTAAGGCAATAAAACATATTTGTCGAGTTCTCCAAATCAGTTGTTAAATAAAACAGTAAAGCTATACTGGCCTGTAATTTTTTTACTCTCTACACTAAGTTAATAATGGAAAACCAAAATAAAAATGAAGACAGAAAGAAATATTCTTATTTAAAAATGAATATATTTGGGAAAAGGAATAAAATGGGATAAAGGGCTAAAGTTAGACTTTGTATCAGCAACTCTAACAGTAAAGGCAGCATTAATCAAACACAGTAACAGGGACTCAGTGATGGCAACAGCAATTCAACGGCCAAAATGATCCATAAATAGACTCGGCATTTGGGAAAAAATCATCCACTGCAGGGTCATCCTCTAATACATGAACTTTGTTTTGGGAGTCCAATTTCTAGAGAAAGGAATCCTAAGATCAAGGCAGAAATCTGGACTACTGCCTGGGGTTCAGAAGATACCTGAACATTTAACAGTTTATATTCTAAGAGACTACTAAAAAGCACTGTAATCATATTCTTTTTGCTTGAAATAGTGACAAGTTACAGTGAGAGTTAATGTGAGCATTTTAATTGGGCTTATTCTAGAGAGGGAGAACTTACAGCTCTACTCCCAGTACTTATATATCACATACAGTGATATACGTACAAGTATGGAACATACATATAGACCCCCACACACAAGTACATATTCTGTGTAAGAATCAAAGCAAAGAAAAACACTTAGTTGGTTGAGAAAAGTTCATTACCTATTACTCTGGGGAGGCGGGGGTGAGGGGGAGACGCAAATACCTCAGACTCAGATGTCTGAACAATATGGCTTAGAATCTCATTCCAAAGGCCAACTAAAATCTTAAATAGTCTTCCTGGGTTTTTTCCCTCTTTTTAATAATAAAGGAGTTTTACTTTTTCCTAGTGCCAAAAGCAAAATCAGAATTAAGTATAAAGGATTTTGAGATGGGAAATGAAAATGAAAAGTATGGTCCATTTATTATGAGAATATAATTGACTAAAAATTCCAGTATTTACTTAAATCTACAGTATATGCTCATTGTTGGTAGGAAATTAACTGCCTTGCACTCTGGTTTTCTTGTAACAGTCTTAAGATGATAAAACTGAAGTTAAATCAAAGGCACCAATCACAAGGAGGCTGTCATAACCACTTTTACATTCCTTAAGCGCTTTGGCATTTTCCTAAATTCTATGATGCAAACGTGACAAAACCATCTACCACTTCTGCCACAGGGGCAAAAGCCATTACTCCATTAAATAATAACACTTTAAAATGTGAAGTAACAAAATAAAGACTCCCATTCAAGGACAATCTTGAAGGTAAGAAGTGGCAGAACAATTCGTAGTTTTCAAAGGGAAAACAATCCCTTTCTAGTCGTCTTCAAAGAACAAAAGACAGACTCTTTTGGAGCCTAGCTTCTGGACTCCGACTTGATGTAGTGTGCAACAGACAAAAGGATGGAGATGTATAAAAATGTAATTCAGGTTGAAGACAGGTGTCATGTGGCGGCCCCTCCCTCAGCTTTCATTTAACAAACACCAAATTCATCTTTATATGTTAAAGAGACAAGTGCAATTCAGATTGCAGGGTAAGTATGAAGGCTTTCAGGAAGGCGGACAAACCAGCATAATAAATTTTTCTACCTGGGACTAAATATCAACTAATCATCTGGCCAGTTAGAAAAATTAAAGGGTAGGACGTAGACGTAGGAACACAATGGATAGTTACCTTCAGCTGATTATTGAAAATATCAATCTCCTGTAGTTTCGACCTGGTTTCTTTCTCAACTTCATCCAGTTGGTCTCGGAGCTGCTGACGAGCCACTTCTTTTGCTTCTAACGCTCTTTTGAGTGTCAGAAGTGAATCTCCTATTTTAGAAAAACATGGCAAGGTAAGAAAAGCAAACTGGCAGTGAGGAAAACGCCTTTTAAATGGTCTCATTACACTGGAGGAAATTCTTACCATTAGGAAAGGATAAAGGCCAATTTGAAAAAGAAAACACCTACTGTGTAAACTGTTTTGCTGAACTTGTTTTAATTGGTCATTGAGTATCTGTTTCTCTGGAATAAGTCTTCCAAGCATTTGCTGAGCCTCCTAGGAGAGAAGGAGGAAAACAACAATGAAATGACAAGGAAACCTACGAAACCTATGTTCTGGCCAAGCAGACAGAACTCTGTTTTCTCATCCCTCAAAGATTCATCTAATCTCATCCCCAAATCCTGTATGTTGAAACTGCATCTAATCAGTCAGGGCAGCGCCTGCTTTCTTGCCAAGCAATTAACTATTTGCCAAATGCTTTTCACTGAAATAAAGCTAAGACAGTTATGGCTCTCTTGACATTTCTTAAATTTTTGTTGACTTACTGTCTATTTATAAGCTTGAAAAAAAGTACTCTAAGTACAACTCAGCAGAGAAAACTGAAAGGAATGATCTCTCCCTTGCACTGGGATCAAATGTAAATACAGGGACCTTGTTTGTAAACTGACTCAGTGGTTTGAACAGGAACGACTCTATTCTGAACTTGGATATTTCACAGGGCTGAAGTGAGGTTTACCATACACCTGAAGATGGAAACAGACATCAAAATGAGATTCCTAACAACAGAATCTTGGCTGCCATATATGTTTTCCAACCACTGAGGATGGACCTACAATTTTAAACAGGTACACAAAAGTCTTGAACCAACTATTTTTTAACTGATATAAGAAAAAAGCTAACCCACTCAAAGGCTATTTGAGTATTTGTGGATGACCCATTAGGCAATGGAGTTGCTTTTCTTTTTTTTTTTTTTCAACGTTTATTTATTTTTGGGACAGAGAGAGACAGAGCATGAACAGGCAAGGGGCAGAGAGAGAGGGAGACACAGAATCGGAAACAGGCTCCAGGCTCCGAGCCATCAGCCCAGAGCCCGACGCGGGGCTCGAACTCACGGACCGCGAGATCGTGACCTGGCTGAAGTCGGACGCTTAACCGACTGCGCCACCCAGGCGCCCCTGGAGTTGCTTTTCAACTGAAATTATCCTATGTCGTTTCTACACATTTCAGTAAGTAACAGCCTTTCCAGCACAGAATAACAAATAGTTGATGTTCATTTTTACCTTGAGCACTGGGTGTTGTAAGAGATGAATCACTAAATTCTACATCTGAAACTAACATTACACTATATGTTAACTAACTGGAATTTAAATAAAAACTTGAAAATAAAATCTCTTTGCATTGAATTTTGGTATCAAAAAATAAAAATGCCTTAATTGAAAATCTTCATCACAGGCTAAGGAACAGTCTTTTTGGAACAACCGTCCTTAGATACAGACTGGCTTATATACAATAAATTTCTGTGTGCGCCAAGTCTGAATCGTAGAGAGATTTAGCTCAACAGAGAGGATCTGGAAGCATCTTCTCATATGAATAATCCATATCCCTTTCCCCAAATCTGGACAAAAAAGAATATACAATTCAGACTGTTTCCCCAGAAAGGGCCAGCCAACTGAGCTTCTCCTATTCTCCTCCCTCAACTGAGGAAAGGCCCTTTACTTCACCCAATCCCAAAGTTTCTTTCCTGAACCAAGATAAACAATGATGCATCAAGATAAAGCCTAGCTCGGATCAGAGGCTATTTTACTTATATCAACATCACTTTTAAATGCCAACCTAAGTTTCTGAAATAAGTCAAACTAATATGAAAGGCCACCTGACTCAGCTACATAGCAAATATTTGCTAATTTCCGGTAAGGAAAGGGAACCAACATCTCATAACCTGTGATATACATGGCCTACTTCAAACCATGTGTTATCTTCCACTTCACTACTTTTTCAGGAACCCTGATTTGTATTTTATTATCAATAAGTGAACATACTAAGTATCAAACTTCAATAATAAAAATGTGTTTGGTCACAGAGCATTCGGTGAGATAATAAACACATGGCCTTCACTCCTAAATTTTCCAAAAGAATATTTTATGAAACTTCTCACAGTTAATGAAAGACATATATAAAAAAAAGTTACCATACAGAAGTATATACTTTTAAAAGGTACATGCATTTTTTAATATGTTCAAACAACTTCTAGCAGTGAACATCTGATACTATTTACATTGTATGTCATATCCTAATATCTCAAATCGATTAGGACTTCATAGTACATGAAAAAATAACTGACAGAACTGGGAAGAAAATGGAAAAATTTATAATGCTAGAGCTTTCAACACCCTTCTTGCAACCGCTGGAAGACGTCACAAAATCAGTAAGGACAGAGAAAACACAAAAAACACCATGAATCAATTTGCTCTGATTGACGTTTATGGGACACTCCACCCAACTACAACAGAGTGCACATTCTTTACAAGTGCACATAAAATAATCACCAACATAGATCATATGCTGAGTCATAAAATAAGTCACAGTAAACTCAAAAAGATTAATAAGAATTGAAATTATACATGCTATGCTCACAGTTTATAATATAAATAAATCAGAAATCAGTACAATATATGGGAAACAATCCAAATATCTGGAAACTAAACAGCATAATCCTAAATAAAGAAGAAATTACCAAGGAAATAAAAAGGCTTTTGAATTGAATGAATATGAAAACACATTAAAAATTTGTGAAATATGGCTATGATAATGCTTAGAAGGAAATTTATACCTTAAAATGTTTATATCAAAAATGAAAAAAGGTTCAAGTTCAGTAATCTAAGCTTCCTTTTTATGAAGCTAGAAAAAAGGAAATTATAGCCAAAATAAGTAGGTGGAAGGAAATAATAAAGAGTATAAGTAAATGAAACAGAAAACAGATAAACCATAAAGAAAAATCAATACAACCAAAAGCTTATTTCAAAAAAAATCAATGAAACCAATAAACTTCTAGTTAGATTGATGGAGAAGAGGAGGATGAGAACGGAAAGAAAGGGAAAAAGGAAAAATCGGAAGGGGTAGAGAAGATACAAATTCCCATGATCAGGAATGAAAAAAGTGACATCACTATAGATACTACAGACTTGCAAAGAATAAGAAAATATTATAAAACAACTTTATACAAATGAATTTGACAACTTGGATGAAACGAAAAAAATCACTGAAAGATACAAATCATTAGACTCAAGATGAAACAGAAAATGTAAATACCCCTATATTTATTAAATACATTTTTGCAATTAAAAGTCCTACCACAAGGGGCGCCTGGGTGGCTCAGTCAGTTGAGTGTTCAACTCATGATTTTGGCTCAGGTCATGATCCCAGGGTCCTGGGATAGAGTCCCAAGTTGGGTTCTTTGCTGAGTGTGGAGCCTGCCTGAGATTCTCTCTCTCCCTCTGCCCCCTCCCCAGCTCTCTCTTTCTAAAATAAAAGTCAAAAAAAAAAAAAGAAAGAAAGAAAGAAAAAGACTCCAGGCCCAGATGATTTATTTCACTGATGAATGAAAAACTTAAAGAAAAGACACCATTTCAATACAAACTTTTTTAGAAAATAGAGGAAAGAATACTCTCCAACTATTTTCTCATTTATTACCCTGATAACAAAACTAGGTAAGGATATTACAAGAAAACTATAAACCAATATCTTTCATGAACTTAAGTGAAAGATAGTAATAGCAAATTGAATCAAGTTAAATATTTTTTTAAATGACAATACACCATGACCAAATATGGTTTTATCTCAGGAATAGAAGGTTGGTTTAACATTCAAATTTTAATCAACATAAATCACCATATGAACAAAATAAAGGAGAAAAAACATGTGAACATCTCAGTAGATGCAGAAAAAAAAAGTTATGAGCCAATTCAACACCCATTCATGACTAAAACTCTCAGCAAAAAAGGAACAGGAAGGAAGTCCCTCAACTTGATAAAGGGAATCTAACAAAAACACCTATAGTTAACATCATACTTAATAGTCAGAAATTGAATGCTTTCCCCTTAAGATGGAGACTCTCACCACTTCTATTTAACATAGTACTAGAGGCTGTGATCAGTGCAATTAAGATGAAGAAATGAAAAGTACATAGGTTAGAAAGGAAGCAATAAAGCTGTCTCTATTCACAGACCATATATTTTATACATAGGAACTCTAAGGAAGCCGAAAATGAGTTAAGCAATATTGTAGATATAAGGTTGACACGTAAAAATTCTGTCTCTATATACTGGCATCAATTGGAAACTGAAGTAAAAATATGCAATATACAATAGAGTCAAAAAACCACAAAACAGGGATAAACTTTGTGAAATATACACAAAACGTATACATTGAAAACTATAATATAACCTGAATAAAATCGAGAAATATAGCATAAGACTCAATATTATTAAGATGTCAATTCTTCCCAAAGTGATCTATAAATTCAATGAAACACCAATCAAAATTCTAAGTATCTTTTGTAAAAACTGACAAGCAAATTCTAACACGTGGAAATGTAAAGGATGAAAATAGCCAAAATAATTTGAAAAAAGAATACTACTGAAGATTTCACATTAATTGATTTTCAACAACCAAGGTAATTCAATAAGGGAAAAGGACAGTGTTTTCTATAAATGTTGCTACAACAATTGGGTATTGGTATGGAAAAAAAAAAGATGAACCTCACCCCTTATTCTACACTTTCATAAAAATCAATGTGAAATGGATTACAGATTTAAACATAAAAGAGAAAACTGTAAAAATCCTGGAAGAAAACGTTAAGAGAAAATGTCTGCAACCTTGGGATGGCCAAAGATTTCTTAGAACACAAAAAAACGTAAACCATAAAAGAAAAAATTAATAAACTGAACTTCCCGACAACTTAAAACTTCTCAAAAAACACCATGACAAAAATGGAAGCTGTAAGGGAAGGTAAAAATATATGACAAAGGACTTGATACAAAAATATATAAAGAACTCTTTACAGTTCCACAGTAAGGTAAATAACCCAACAAAAAATGGGCAAAAGATCTGTTCACAAAAGACACACACAAGAAGATACATACCAATACAGTGAGTATGAAGTGAGGCCCAACACCACTAGCTTTCAGGGATATGCAAATTAAAGCCACATGAGATACTGTGACACATCCGTCAGAAATATTCATTACAAATAATGACAAAGCAAGTGTTGGCCAGGATGAGAAACTACTGAAGCACTCACACATGTAAAGTGTAAAATGTAGAAAGAAAATAAAATGGTACAACCACCCTGGAAACAGTCTGACGGTCTCCCGTAGGGTTAGCCTATATTTATAGGACACGGTAATTCCATTCCTAAAAGTTAATACACAAATAAGAGAAATAAAACATATTTCCACATCAAGACTTGCAAATAAATACCCATTGCAGTTTTATGCATAAAAGTTCCAAACTGGAAAGAACCCAAATGTCAATCAACAGGAAATACTACTTAGGGATGAAAACGAACAACCTACTGATCTGCTCACAAGTATGGATAAATCTCAAATCATCAGGCTGAGGAAAGTCACAAACCTCAAAAATGATCATCTTTCATGATGACAAGCAGAACAGCATCTACATGAATTTGACATCCCCTGCCCCCAGTTCAACAAGTGAAACCAAACCAGGTGATATTATGCAACTTGGTGGTCAACTCTGGATACCTAATAAACGGAAGCAGAACTGCTGATAGCATTCCATTATGTCCCCAACTATTCGGTATAATTCTCTCTCATACTCCTGTTAAAATACTGAGCCGCACTCCCTTATTGTGATGATCACGGTAAAGTCAAAGTCTCATGAGTGAACTACATGTCCCAGGTGATCCAGTCCCTGCCTGCTCCAACCACAGCGGCCTCCTTGCTGTAAGCACATCCCAAACACGGGCTATAGCCTCACAGCTCTCACACTGCTGTCTCCGTACCTACAGCTCGTTCTGCCAGAAAGCCACACAGCTTAACCGCTTCTCTCTTTCAAGTCTTTGCTCAAATGGACCCTTACAGGGAAGCCTGTCCTGACCACCTAATTTAAAAAACTGCCCTTGCAGGCGCCTGGCTGGCTCAGTTGGTGAAATGTATGACTCTTGATCCTGGGGTTTTGAGTTCAAGCCCCACCTCGGGTGTAGCGATTACTTGAAATAATATAAAATAAAATAATTTTTGTTGTATTGTATTATTGTATTTTTATTGAGAGAGTGTGAGTGGGGGAGAGGGGTGGAGGGGGGGAAGGAGAGAGGGAGAGAGAGAAAGAGAAAGAGAATCTTAAGCAGGTTCCATGCTTAGTAAAGAGCCTGATGAGGGCTTGATCCCACAACCTTGGGATCATGACCTGAGCCAAAATCAAGAGTCGGACACTCAAACCAACTAAGCCAATCCAGGTACCCCAAAAATAAAATCTTACAAAAAAAATAATAAATAACTGCCCTCCTTCTCTCCAGGACTCTGTTTCCTACTCACTCTCATACTCTAAGAGTACACACTTGACTTCTTTTGTCGGTGTCCTGCCCTGCAGATAGAAGGTAAGCTCCGTGAAGGGGGGGCTCTCATCTCCGCTCACTGCTGGACCCTCAGCGCCTCTGAGTGCGTCTGGCCTGGCACGCAGCAATGCTCAGCAAGCATGTTGAGTTTGTTTCCTTGACAGACTCCTTTTCAGACCAGGGCTTTGTCAACTTCGTATTTGCTTCCCAGAGCCCAGTACCTCATGGAGGCTGGGTGCTTGTAGGAATAAATGAGTGAAATGAATCAGAGGAAAAGCAGGGAAAGCCAAAAAGCTGTTAAGGGATGTGTTTTCTCACCTGTAACTGTTGCTGTAGATGGGTGATTTCTGCAATCCTCAACTCTCTGGATTTGTTCGTACTCTCAATTTCTTGCCTTTGGGTGGTCAATCGACATCTGATATCTTGAAGTTTTCCTTCTAGTTGATGCTTTTTATCATTCTTTAACACATGAAAAATTATTATTATTACCATTTTTAATGGTTCAGTGTTACTGTACAGCTGACCCTTGAACAACACGAGGGTGAACTCCAGGGGTCCACATACACACGGATTTTTTTCGATAAATAACAGTACAGTACTGGGGCACCTGGGTGGCTCAGTCGGTTAAGCATCCTACTCTTGGTTTGGGCTCAGGTCATGATCTCATGGTTTCATGAGTTTGACCCCCACATCGGGCTCCAAGTTGACAGTGCAGAGCCTGCTTGGGATTCTCTATCTCCCGCTCTCTCTGTCCTTCCCTCACTGCGCTGTCTCTCTCAAAATAAATAAAGTTTAAAAAAAATGTTTTTAAATAACAGTACAGTACTGTAAATGCATTTTCTCCTCTTTATGATTTTCTCAACATTTTCTTTCCTCTAGCTTACTTTATTAAAAGAATGCAGTATATGATAAATATAACATGAAATATGTGTTAATCAACTATTTGTGTTATCAGTAAGGCTTCCAGTCAACAGTAGGCTACTAGTAGTTATGTGTTAGGGGAGTCAGGAGTTACAGAGTTCTGACTGCGCAGGGTCAACTGTATTCCCAAAGCATAATCAAACTTCACTCACTAGAGCTTCTAATTCAAATTCCAGAGTCTTTTTCTTTGCTTTCAGTACAACTATGTCTTCTTGTTCTTTGTTTCTTTGATTGAGTAGTTCTTGTCTTCGATTCCGTTCCCATTCAAGTTGTCGTTGCCTTTCAAGTTCTCGTTTTGCAGCCTGTGACATTTACAAACAGACAGCTTATTAATTTTTTAGTTCTTACATTATACAATGTCTCTTAATAAACATAACATCTAGGAAGTCTTTTCTTTCAGGGATAAAATGTTACACACTGCAAGAAATTCTATTACAAAATAGCAACACAAAATTTATACAAATGTAGTATTCCTTCTATGGAAAAAAAGAAACGAATATTTAGAAAGGCTATTAGATAAGATGAGGACAGGATTCATGTCATCGTTGCAATTTGACTGTTTGTGCCTTCAAGAGTGCTTGAAGTGATAAAAAAAAAATAACCTTTCTTCCTTATTTACTGACTCATGGAGGGTAAGGAAAAATCTAGTAAAATCTAGTAAAATCAAAATCCAAACCCCTAGAACAAAAAGAAAAAACAAGAAATATCCCCCCAAAACAAAACTTTCTTCTACCCAAAAAGAAATTATTTACCTCAAGTCTTAAAATTTGTTGCCCTCCAGCCCCCTAATCATTCATCTTCTTTTACCACAGAAGCTTCTGTAATTTCTGTGGCAACGTCAGCGCTCCTCAGAGCTGACTCTGATGGCTGCTGGGTAAAGAGCACCTGGCACTCTTTACTGTAATTGCTACTTACTCCAACTACCCTTTTACAGGCCAGAGGACAGGTGGAATACTATCCGTCAGTATATCTCTAGGGACTATCAATGCCTGGTACCTGGTAAATGCCTATTAAATAGTTCTTAATAAATACTCTAAAGTGTCTTGGGAAAAAAAAAAAAAAAAAAAAAAACAACACGGAGGAAAGGAAGGCATTGAGTCCTTTGGCTGTCCATTCTGGAAATTAAAACCCTGTTGGTATCTGTGTGTCTCTGCCTGAACAGAGGCTTACTGCCCTAAATTTTCTGAAGCAATAAAAGGAGATGAAACCAAAGTATTGTGTTTTGTGTTTTTATAAAGGAAAATCTCCCATCTATAAAATAGATTTCATTCACACAAAAGAATCATGGCATTGCCTCAGTAGCAATGTGCTTAACTGGAAATTCGGACAAAAGGCTGGCTTAGCCCTTATCCAGTATGGCACCAAATTGATGAGGCCTTTCATCCAATATATTGAAGATTTCCCACACACGTTTTTTTAAAGTGGAAAAAAAAGGGCACAGACAATATAATTAGTATGAGATCATTACAGGGCTTTAAAAAAAAATTGCACTAAATCCCCAACCTCTCCAACCATATATAACCTTTTATATTGCTACATACATTTTTAAATGCAGAGAAGAAAGTCTGAAAAATTCTCAACAAATATCAGTGGTTTTTGTTAAGAGACTGAATTATCAAAAGCTTGAGTGTAAATATTTATATATATATATGTGTATATATACATATAGTTATAAATATATGTATATATTTTAGTTTTTATTTATTTTGAGAGCGCGCAAATGTAAATGGGGGAGGGGGAGGGAGGGAGGGAGAGAGACAGAGAGAGGGAACCCCAAGCAGGCTCCGTACTGTCAGCACAGCACCCGAAGGGGGGGCTCAATCTCATGAACCACGAGATGGTGACCGGAACTGAAAGCAAGAGTCGGGCGCTTAACCGACTGAGCCACCCAGGCGCCCCTTGAGTGTGAATGTTCTTAGCAGCATTATTCATAATAGTCAAAAAAGTTGAAAACAACTCAAACGTCCATCAACTCATGAATGGATAAATATAATGTGGTACATCCGTGTACTGGAGTATTATCCGGTCATAAAAAGGAATAAAGTATTGATTCACGCTACAACTTGGGACTTGAAAACAAGCTAAGTGGAAGCCAGACACAGAAGGGCACATGGTATATGATCCCACTTGTGAAATGTCCACAACAGGCCAACCTGTGGACACAGAAAACAAATAAATGAGTGGCTGTTAAGGGCAGGGAGAGGCGGATGGGAAGTAACTGCTTAATGGGGAAGAGAGTTCTTCTTGGGGTGAGGAACGTGCTCTGGAATCAGACAGAGGTCAGGGTCACATAGCTTGGTGAACATACTAAACGTTCGCAACTGTAAAAGGAAGGAGACTGTGTTAACCTGCCACCTGACCAATTAAGAGAGAAGGGGAGCAAGCCACACGCGCTGACTGTGGGGGTGGCTCCGTGGCTGCTTACCTCCCGCCTCTCGATTTCCTTCCTCCTCTCCTCCTCTCTCTGCCGTTCTAGTTCCCGCTGCTTTTCCAGTTGCTTCTCCAGCTCCAGTTGTCTCTTGCGCTCCTGCTCCTGGCGCTCCCGCTCTTTCCTCTCCTGCTCCGCGCGCTCGAGCTGGGCCAGGCGCTCCTGCTCTTTGCGCTGCTGTTCCAGGAGAGCCTGCCTCCGCTTCTCCAGTTCCAGGTTGCCACGCTCAAAATTCTCACGCTTCTTATCCTCAAATGTTACTTTAAAACGAGAAGCAGAGAAACTATGAAAAGTCATGATTTTCAACACTATTTTCAAAGGAAACGTTCGGTGGCACATTTGAAATCTGTAGTGTAAATGCAAACCAGAACTCCCCAAGTTTCCTTCCTGCCCGTGCCCTTCCTGCCTGTGACCACGAGGACACTAAATACCTTTTAGAACCAAGAACTTGATTCAGTAAAGTAAACTGCAGGATACAAAAGCAATATACAGAAATTAGTTGCATTTCTATACAGTACTAATAATTAGCCAGTAGAAGGAGAAATTAAGAAAACAATCCCATTCATGATGGCATCAAAAAGAATACCTAGGAATAAATTAAAAAAATTTTTTTTAATTTAATGTTTATTTATTTTGAGATAGAGAGAGAGAGAGAGAGAGA